GTATCCACTATCCAAGTGGTCAATAGATTTGGGTTCTGTTTGTTTTTTAGACAAAATAGACGGAATAATTTGAAAATATCAAATCTTAATAACGATACGAAACCGATACGGAACCGAACCATTCCTTAACGACTCAGTTCTTGTCATTTTGCGGTTCCTAGTGTTTAACAATTTTCTTACAAAAAATGTAAATATGTTTACCATCATTTCAAACCTTAAAAGTTGAGTTTAAAACATAAGTACATAACAAACTGAAAATTAAGTAAAAAAAAACAAAACATGATATTCACTACAATCCGTAATCATGATCTTGAATCAACAACGTAATTCGTCAGCAAAAAAATCCTTCATCTCAACATAGAGAATTTAATATAAAAATCAATAAGTAAATATGCATTGAAATATATATACTAATAAGTGCTACCTCCAGTGGTGGATCTATGAATTAAGTTTTAGGTGCACATTTTTTTCTATAATTAAAATTTGAAAAGACAATAAATAATTAAACTAAATTTATACATGTATACTACCATATTTTTCAAAATACTAGGTATTCATATGAATACCTTTGAACTAAAGTGGCTCTGCCACTGGCTACCTCCGTCCCAAAAAGGTTCGTTATTTTGATATTTCTTGGTCAATGATTACAAACTTTGGATAATAATTTTAAATACTATATTTATATATAACTTATAAAATTCATACAACTATGAAAATATTATGAATAAGTAAGATTTTGATATAACTTTCACATTCTAACATAATTTCGTATTAAAAAATATCATTGGTCAAAGTTCATCGTCATTGATAAAGTCTGTCAATTTTACGAACCTTTTCCAGACGGGGTATTATATATAACTAGTCTTCTACCCGTGCGTTGCACGGGATGTAATTAGATACATTATAAATGTGAATATTTGACGCAGTTACAACTTACAAATGTATATACATAGACATAAAATAGGTTACCTTCATGCTAAAAAATTCTTCTCATTTACTCCGTACTATTTTAGGATGTTGCAATTTTTTTCTCATTTTCCTTGGTGAAAGGTTTTGTATGACTAACATTCATTTATCATTTTCTTACTCAACCATAACAATACATTTATACTTTATTCTCACTTTCTTAATAAGTCTACCAAGTCGAACCGAGTAGAATTATGAGCAATCAATACACTACAAAAAGATATTAACCCCACTAAACACAAGTGTCTTTTCTCTCATACTCTTTTTGATGAACATATCATCATCTTCATCTTCTGTGATTTTGGAAGGAAGAGCAATAAAGCCAAAAGACGTTTATTAAATAATGTTGTTGATGTACATTTTTTGTCATTTTGTTAAAGGGAGATTTCCCAAAATAGGAGTAAATGGAATTTGGAATTCTAAAATAGAACTACTATGTTTTTATTCCCGAAATAGGACTAACATGGCAGTATTTACTGTCATCTTGTAGGCTGCCAAATAGTTGCAGTACAGTGCGTTTAACATGATAGTATTAATTATAATTAATGACATTATTTTTCATACATGGCAGTAACAACTCCTATTTTGGGAAGAAAAACATAGTAGTCCCATTTTGGAATTCCAAACCTCATTTACTCCTATTTTGGGTAATTTCCCTTTGCTAAACTATTAAACATATTTTTAATGCCCAATTCTATGAATATGATCTTCTGCTTGAACAAGGTCACATGAAATATATGATTTATTGGTATGCGTAAATTTAAATTTAAAATGAAATAATTACATATTTATAATTAAAACCAAGATGGCTCGGCTCCTCCTCCCCTCCTCCTTGAGGGGTATGATCTTTGTGTTCTCAGCTATGCACCATAGCCCATAGAATCAAGTAATCAACCTCATGCCACCCCATGACCCACGAAATGATTACCACGTAAAGAGCCTCTAGATGGCACATCTAGAAAGACTGGATTACCGCTTTCTGCAGGATCATACACCTCGTTGACACACTTGGAGTTTGACTGTCATTGACAGTTCTAACTTCTAAATACCAAGCAAAATGAAATTTATTTGTCTTGAAATCACATCAAAATCTTATATGCTTGTTCTACATACAATATATGTATGTAGTTTTTTCACCATACATTATAAATCAAAATGTGATGTCTATCACCCGAGAGCTTGTAAAACTGTAATAATTTATTTTATTAATAAGGAGTACATTTTATGTACTATTTTTATTTATTTTATAAGTACCACTCCTTAATATATACTACGTAATATTTATAACAATTCATGCGATATTTTACTTTAATCAAGGAAAAAGTATATAGGGAGAGAAAACAACTTAAACTATAAAGTTATCGGTCAACACCATCAACTTCCGGTGAAGCAATCATTTACCACATACCCCCTTCTCCTAAGACAAAAAATTACCCCCTTCTCCTAAGACAGAAAATTACCCCCTTCTCCTAAGACAGAAAATTACCTGCAAGGATGATCTCAACTTTGGGATAGCATCTGGTTGTGGCACAACTGTAGACACTCTAGCTGTCTAGCATCCTTATTAAAAGTACCTTTTTGCCTAGTCATTAAAAAGATGCACTTTTAAAGCCTTAGATATAGATAGTTTATTTAACAAAAAGAAACACGTAACCATCATGAACTAAGGTACTTGAGAAACCAACTTATGAATGAATGAAGTTGTCACTGCATCCAGTATTTCGGTGGGAAGACCTACTGCCCTTCTGCTATTTCAAAGAAAAGAAATAGAAGTAAGTTACTAATTAAGGGAGTGTAAAAAGGATCTAAAATTCAATTTGTATTCAATAACCAAATTCATTATATATAACTTTGTCAATTGTACAATAATTTTAGCTCTGTTGATTTTTCAATAACTACGTAACATGATAAACAAAATTGTGCTTTTCCCTAAAGAATGAGAAAACAGAAGCTCTAGGCTCTAATTTTGGAATTGCCTGTACAAAACTTTACTTTGGATCAAGCAATTGGAAAATAAATGAAGAATCAAATAATCATAAAACAGGACCTTCTTTAGGCTAGAACTTTAGAAGAATAAAAAAAAATGATAACATAAACTCTTTAGCCATTCTTACAAATTTACTTTGAAAACTGCCTCTCTTTATAAAAAAGAAATTGCCTCCACAAAATTTTAAGAATAAATAATAATGCATATAAAAATCTATGTGAACTATAGTGAGGATTAATTTTAAACATGTGTAAAGCAATACTCATCTCTTTCTTTGATGCCAAAGTACACACAAACCTGAAAAGTAATATAACTTAATAATGTTTTGTAATTTTCCTACATATAATCTAGACTTTCTCATACTTAGATTTTAATGAGCATTTCTCAACTTAAAAAAGAGTTATCAAAATTATGAAACAAAACTAATACCCCATATTTGGAACTAAATGAGTACTTCGCAGTTGGGAAAGAACAAAACACTTAGGAACAGAAATATGTAAACTGTACATTCCCAACAGGAATCCAAAATTGGTAAATACATGTTTTGAGCAGAAACTGAACATTACATATCTGTCAATTTTACAAACCTTTTCAAGATGGGGTATTATATATAATGGTTTCATAACGGTTCTAGATACATATTTTTTCATAAAGAAAGAATCCACCCTTTAACAATACGGAGTAAATGTTAGAAACGAATCGAATCATACGGATTCGGTAAAATTCAAGGCCTGTTTACTAACAGATATTTTTTCCAGTTTTTCAGAAAACTGGAAAACTAGAAAACAGAAAACATGAAACGTGTTTACCAAAGAAAATTGCTGGAAAACTGGAGAAAGGAAAACAAAAAAACGCGTTTACCAAACCGTTTTCCAAAACGAAAAAATGAGACATGTCTCTATTTTCCTTAATGATTTGGAGAAGTGACTTTTACTAGTTTTCCAAATTTGGAAAACGCAGATGTTAAAGGCTGCTACAATGAATTTGCATACTTACACCTAGTGGTGGGTCCCGTCCCGCTCCAATGTCGATTCCATTCTAGTACCTCCATCCTCGTATCTTACCCCTTACTCCTACCCTACCTTACCCCCACCCCCTACCACATGCCCCTGCCTCGGTCCCACCCTGATCCACCCTACCCTACTGCCACTCCCTACCACCTCAACCCCACCTCGACCCACCCTACCCTACCCCCACCTCGTATATTACCCCTTACCCCTACCTTACCTCTTCCCACATGCATGCCCCTACCTCGGCCCCACCCTACCGCCATCCTATCCCAACTCCCTACCATACCCCTTACCTTACCCCAACCCTACTCACTACCCCCTACCCCTAACCACCACCCTAACTCACCTACTACCCCACCCCAACCTCGTACCCCTAGACCTTACCACCCCACCCCCACCCCCACCCATACCTTCATTCCCTACCCCGACCCCTACGAGTAGGTATGGGTGGGTATGAAGGGTTTTAGGGGAGTACGGGTAGAGTGTAAGATCGTGATAAGGGTAGTGGTAGGGGTCAAGGGTGTGGAATTGGGTGTAGGGTGTAGGGTGGGGGTACGAGGTATAGGGGTAAGGTAGGGGTTAGGAGTATGGGTACACGTACGAGGTGATCGACCCCACATATTATATTATATATTTGTGTTCATGAATGTTTGTGTGTCTATATTTGTATAAGGTTATTTTGGACGTTTTAATGTTAAACGATGTTTTAAACCTTTTGAATTCAACATGATTTTATAACATTGTTTATTTTATGTGTCGCTTATTAACGCGGGTCTTAATAAGCATCATTTAGTAACATATGAAGTAAAAATACCAGTCTTCTGAATGATCACAGAATTGTGTGAAAAAATTGATGAATGTTTTTTAGATTTGAAAATGGAAAACTAGAAAATAGAAACAGAAAACTAGAGATAGAAAAACTGAAAAATAAAAATAGAAAATATTAGTAAAAGTAGATGGTGCACATGGCCTTGCCAACAAGAGTACCGTGGCAGTGTAATAGCTGCGAACAATTCAATTTCTGTTTCCGCTTGCATTGTGCTGCGGGCCTATCCAACCCGATAAACATCATCCGCAGACTCACCCATATATCTTCCTTCAAATTCGAAATCCGAAATCCCACCTTGAAAATGGGTCTGTTCCTTGGGAAAATACTTGTCGAAACCCCGAAATATGACGTGATTCAGTCCGCCGCGGACTACGAAATCCGCAAGTACCCGGCATCGGTGATAGCAGAGGTCACGTACGACCCGACCCGGTTCAAAGGCAACAAAGACGGCGGCTTCGCCCTGCTCGCCAACTACATCGGTGCGTTCGGTAGCCCGCAGAACGCGAAGCCGGAGAAGATTGAGATGACGGCGCCGGTGATCACCAAGGAGTCCGAGAAGATCGAGATGACGGCGCCGGTCGTGACCAAGGGCGGCGGAGAGGGAAAGTCCGTGACGATGCAGTTTATCCTGCCGGCCAAGTACACGAGGGCGGACGAGGCGCCGAAGCCGCTGGACGAGCGAGTGGTGATCAGGGAGGAAGGGGAGAGGAAGTTCGCGGTGGTGAGATTCAGCGGGAGAACGACTGATAGCGTGGTGCAGGAGAAGGTTGAGAGCTTGAAGAAGTGTTTAGAGAGGGATGGGTATAGAGTAATTGGGGATTTTGAGCTGGCGAGGTACAATCCGCCATGGACGCTGCCTCCTCTGAGGACGAACGAAATCATGATTCCGGTGGCCCTGGAATGAATTGAACCGCCGGGCTGGGTTCCCGCTTCGTGGTAATTGTGATTTCCATCCTTCCTCCTCGGTGTTCTTATCATTTTGTATTTTACAGTGTAATTCCAGGTTTACGCATTTTCCTGGCTAGGATTAATGCTGTGGTTTGTTATATTTGTGTAAATCATATTCCATATTATGAACTGATGAATAAGTGAATTATGCTCTCTATTAGTTAAACAAAGAAAAAATTGTAGCCTATTCTGATCAGAGTTTTGCTAGGAGTACCTCAAAATGTACCCCATTTTTACCCCAACCCCTAATTTGTGGTCATAAATGGACCAATTCATTTAAGTGTTGTCCCACTTAAATGAATTGCCTCATTTATGGCCACACATTAGGGGGTGGAGGGTAAAAATGGGGTACATTTTGGGGTACCTTTAGCATTTGTGATTCTGATCATTACTCATTAGTGTCTGAAATCAAAATTAAATTTTCTATAGCATTTGTGATTCTGATCATTACTCATTAGTGTCTGAAATCAAAATTAAATTTTCTACTCCCTCCGGTCTCGAATGAAATTCACAATTTCTTTTTTGGATAGGTCCAAAATAAACTTCACGCTTCTTCTCCCTTCCTTATTTGGTAAATTATATACATCAAAACAGTGTCAAACAGTGTCACAACAATGTACTCTAAAGTAAAATTAAATTTATTTTCTTAATTTATGTGAAGTCAAAGTGTGAATTTCATTTGGGACCGAAGGAACCGAAGGAGTATAAGATTAAGGAAAAAATAGGAGTTAGAATCATTCAGAATAGATTAGGTTAGTCACTGAGTTCTAATCCAAATAAAGAGGCTAAAAAACTCTCCATCAAACATGCCTGAAGTAAAATTGACTGGGTAGAGTGTATGACTTAGCTGGTCATGATGATAATTAATTATTATTAAGGCATTAACTAACTTGATCTTTTTTAAGATAGACCGATAACCGTTACATTTTGGATCACATAATTCATGAGCACATATTTTCATTCCTTAAATGAGGAGTGTCACATAGGAAAACAGGATACATCTACGAAAACAGCATCTATTTTGGATTGCCATTATTAGCTTAGAGTTGGTTTAATAACATTGATGAAATTCGTGTTGAATCTACTGAATTACGGAAATATAGCCCTAAACCAGGCGAGGTCCTTTTTAATAAGTATATTGTGAATCTACTTAATAGCCCTAAATCATAGTGTTGTGCCAAACATAGCCTTTGTACTCTTGTAGTGTTATGCGGATAGGTATGAATATAGCCCCATCATCTATGTATTTGTCCTAATCGTTTTTTTTTTATCATCAAAACGGCTTTCCATTAAAATAGAGCAAATACGCAACGCCAAATCCAGACAGATATTACATATCCGATCGGAAACCATAGGAATAGACTTAGAGTCAGCCACCCATACAAAGCAACATGACTCGCTAGACACAAAACGGGCAAGAAGAAGCTTAAAACGCCTGAAAATGAAACATTGTTTATCAATAGTTCATCATCAAAAATCAAAATACTCCGACCACACCCGGTCGAACTGAAACAAAAATAAGTGTTGCGAAGGGAAAAACAATACGAAAATAAAAACTTTCCCCAAATTACTTCCTCGCAGGGTGGTGGTTCCGGAGGAGGGCGAGCCGATGTAGTATGATAGAAGAGAATTTCAACCTCCAGAAAATTCATTTGAGAATCTATCATGCCAATCACCGGAATGGTCGCCTTCACATAGCTCGCCAAATCTTCTTCTTCCGCACCAATTGTCATCATTTTGTAATGATCACCGATATTCTCCATAAATCTCTACGCCTTACCAAACCGACTAAAAATTCCGGAACCGCTGCTGCACAGACCAATCCGTCCGCTTTGCTGCTTCGTTAACCTCGTCAAGTGCCTCCCTAAGCGTCTGCTCAAATCTTCCTCAACAGATCTCACCTCGCAATGATCTTCGTAACCTCCTGACCGATCATCACCTTCGCCCACCCTCCAGACTGATCAATAATAACAAATTGGCTGACTGAAACTGAACCCCGCTCCTCTGCTAAGCTGATAACGGACACACCGATGCTAAAGATCGCCTTGCGGCAACCCTAGAAAATTCCTCTTTCTAAAATTGAGAGTTGAAATATAGTTATCTGTCCTAATCGTTTGATACTTGGTTGATGCCAATGTTACTGATTGCTAATAATCTATAAATTACAATTTTATCTTCTCCTTTAGTAGATAAAATATATTTAGCCGGGATTTCTTTCAGACCTCGTTTTCTTGTTTAATTTGTACCAAGTATTCTGCATTTCCTAGTAATCCATTAGAGTGCCTCCTACTTGCTGGATTTGATGTCACCTTTAACTTTCGGATTAGAAATCCACACCTATATATGCTTAGTTAGTTAGTCCGTTGGGGTGTCAACAAGTCAAACCTGAGCTATTCGAGATCTTTTTGTAGAAACTGGACCTATTATATGTATAGTTTCGTATTATAATTCATATATATTCCACAAAATGTTTTATATTTAGACTAATATATATATACACACAATATAATTTTCAATTTATTGTTAAGGTGGTATTTGTTTGAATATGAAAAAAATCAGCAAGCGTGCTTATTTAAGCCATGCTAAAATAGTTTGCCGAGCTCATTTGTGCTAATTACAGTTTAACTGAGTTTGATCCGAGTTTCAACTTTTGACTTTTTGGGCTTGGCTCAAATGACACCTTCTAAGTTCCCGTTTATGCTATGTCCAACCCTCATATATCTTGATTTTTCTAACAAATGATCTGAGTTTTGCTAATTAATAACCCAACTGTGTGACCGAGATGTCACGAGGACCGAAATGACCCAGCAGGAGGGTGCACAAGTTAAGGTGTTGTTGTGCAACCAAGATGTCACAGGTTCAAGTCTTGAGAGCGCCTCTTGTCAAATTTTGATAGAGGAAGGCTTTCCCCTTATACATCCACGTGGATGATCCAAAAGTTTCATGTTTGGTGAAATTCAGCAGATATAAACCTGATACGCCAAAAAAAGTTACCTCTCTTAGGGCTCGGTTGGTAACACTAAAATCGGTTGAATTGGCTGATTCTGCTGAAATTTATGAAGTTCTGGTTGAAGTGGCTGTATTGGTTGATTCTGCTGATTCATGAAAAAATCATATTTAAAATATTTTTTATTAATAAATTAAATAAAAAATTGTATGAAAAAATAGCTAAAATGATCATCAACAGTAACTTCAGCCAATACAACCATAAAAGTAACTCCAATCTTACTTTTTCTGCTTATTACAAACGTCAGCGCGCGAAATCAAAAGTTACGTGTTTGGTGAAAAGCTGACTGATAAGCCCGATAAGCCGAAAAAAGAGGTCACCAAAGGAGTTCTTAATTTATCGTGTATTTGATTAGGATTCACTAGATGTGCCCGGAAAGTCTAAAAAGCAGTCGGACGGTAGGAAGGCGGGAGCAGTAGAAAGGCACAAGTAACACATGACATGGATAGATCTTAACCCTAAATCCAATGACAGCAATTCATTTCCTTCCTTCTTCTATCTCTCAGCACTGTCACTCCTTGGTTCTCACTCCACTCAGCCATTTCAAAGTATCCGCCTTTTTGCCTGCCAATTGGGTTGGTGGAATGGAGCTCCCGGCCCCGGTGGTTCTTGTCATCCGCCCTAGGACGTTGCTGATCGGGGTTTTGGTGGCACCTTTCCATCTCCTCGGCCTCTGCGTACTGATCTTCCCGTTGGAGGGCCCTTATGTAGTCGTGAGGGGGTTCGATAATGAGGCTCCTTGAGAAGTTCCCGGGCGGAGAACTGTCTATAGGAGAGCCATAAGGGTCCCGTCGTCGGTGTCGTCGACCTTATCCATCTCCAGCCTCCAGCGTTCCAAGAAATCCCGGAGGGTTTCCTCCTTCTGTTGCCTTAGCGTCAGTAAGTGGGAGAAGTGTTTCCTTGACCGATGCCTTCCCGCAAATTGTGTCAAGAAACGTTGGGCGAGTTCTTGCCATGAGTCAATGCTTCCCTCGGGCAGTCGGTTAAACCATTCGTACGTCGGTCCTTCCAAGGTGGAAAGGAACCAACGGCACAAATATTTGTCTGAAGCCCCCATCATCATCATGCTATTTTGGTACCTGCTATAGTGTTTATGGGATTCGTCTTCCCCTCATAAGGCTTTATGGGTTGTCCTCGATACGTACCAGGGATCTGAGCTGCCAATACCCTCGGGGTGAAAGGCGTCTTTGTGCGAAGCTGGATGACAGGTTCCCCGGAGCCCTCGGTTAGCTTCCTCTGCATCTCGTCCACCTTGGCAAACATGGTGGTGTATTTGGGGTCCGCCTGTAAAGCGGAAGCCGTTGTTTAGGCCTGACGGGCTTCCATCTCGTTGAGGCGGCGCTAGAGGGCCTGATCTGAATCTTTCTGATCTGATCTGAATCTTTCTGATCTGATCTGATCTGAATCTGAATCTGTCTGATCCGATCTGAATGCTTCTGATCTGGTTTGCATCCTTCTGATATGATCTTAACTTTCTAAACCGGTATATAATAATTATAATAATAATAATAATAATAATAATAATAATATAACAATAATAATAATAACAATAATAATAACAATAACAACAACAACAATAATAATAATTTATGATCTCATCTGAATGTTTCTGATCTGATCTTATCTGATCTGAATCTTTCTTATCTGATCTGATTTAAATCTTTCCTATCTGATCTGATCTGATCTGGTCTGAATAAAATAAGAATGAACAATAAGTAATAAGAATAAGACGAAAGGAATAGCTTCTAATGTATTGTGGATTTGATTAGGATTCATTAGATGTGCCCGGAAAGTTTAAAAAAGCCGCCGGACGGTAGGAAGGCGGGAGCAGTAGAAAGGCACAAGTAAAACATGACATGGATAGATCCTAACCCTAACTTCAATGGCAGCAATTCATTTCCTTCCTTCTTCTATCTCTCAGCACTGTCACTCATTGGTCCTCACTCCACTCAGCCATTTCAAAGTATCCGCCTTTTTGCCCGCCAATTGGGACAGACACCGCCGTATTCACCAACCGGACCCGCCTCAGTGCTCCCCTGATGACCGGACCACCTCCCAAAGCCCTGCAAAATCCTCCCGCCGTGGCCGGAAAAAGAAGCCAGACACTGCAGCTCCGGCTTCCCCAACTCCCAGCATAAAAAGACCCAGAGGCCGTCCAAAAAAAGAACCGCAAAGCAAAACCATAGAATCCGACTCCTGCATTGAGCCTCAGGTGAATGCTGACAAGGTTGACGACGTGATTGATTCTCCGGCGAATAAAATCGAATCCTCGCTTGAGCCTCAGGTAAATTCCGATGAGTATGACCATATTATTGATTCCCTGCGTGAATTCGAGTCATACATTCAGCCTCAGGTAAATCCTGACGAGGTTGACGATTACGACGACGGTATTGATTTTCCGTATGAAAACCCGCCTCTTATATGCTGCTTCGGGTCGGCAAAAAGAGAGTTTTTGCCGACGGTTAGGGTTTCACCTGAGCAAATGGACCCGGATATATATTCAGAGTGGAAAATGCTGCAGTGGAACCCGCCTGAGTTCGTGAGAGCCCCAGGAGGGCCGCCATCAAATGTGGCTATTGCTCACGTGAGGCTTGGAGGAAGAGCTGCCTTTATGGGGAAAGTGGGGAAGGATAAGCTTGGAGAGGATTTGGTTTTCTTGATGAACACTGAGAAAGTGCAAACAAGAGCCGTTAAGTTTGATCAAATTGCAAGGACAGGGTGCTCCTACATGAAAATCAAGTTTGTGGATGGGAAGATGAAAGCTGAGGTTGTCAAGGAATGTGCTGAAGATTCTTTGCTCAGCTCGGAATTGAATCTTGCTGTGCTCAAAGAGGTATATAGTTAAAGAGAATCATTTTACTCATTTTCCTGGTTGATATTGCATTCTAAGCTTTGCCCATGAATGCTTTGTGTTTCCTTTTACTCAAAATATAAACTTATTTGATAAAAAATACTGAGCTAGCTGTACGTAATGGATCTAATGATCTTATTTTTCCTGCTATATTCTGATGGCTAAGAGATGTCAATCTAGTTTCTGTCATGAAGTGCCAATAGTTCAATCCTAGATGGTTATGGACTACTTCATACACACACATATACGAAGTATGGCAGCGAATATATGTCAACAAGTTTACAAAATTACTCGACTCTGATGGGCACAGACTGTTTACTAATGTCTAAAATAGAGATCTAGGTGTAACTGAATGTATTATGCTGAGGATTCATCTTCATCGTTGTAGATTGCACATTCAATTTTGAATTTTGATTAGATTTTGACATATGTTTGGTATGATAATGGCTTCTAAAACCATGTAAAAACAAGTACTACGAATTACGTAGTACGTAATAGTCTATTTGACTCGAGACTTCACGGCTTATCGTCAATAGTGATTCAACTGTGTGGACAATAACCCGTGTTTACTTGTGAATTAACTTGAATCCTAACATATTCATTCGGTTAGACTGATTTGATCATTCAGCGAGATAATTTACGTATTCCCATATAAACGTTTATTCAACCATATTTTCAGAAACCATAGTGTAATAAATGTATTTTAATAAGAGAATTTACTCATTGACATGACAACTAAAAATAACCTTGAATTAGCTATTTTACCCAATTCACACTATTTATTGAAGAAAAAAAGTAAAGAGCGCCTTATACAAAGACCACCTAATCCGGATACACATCTTCATGTAGTTAGGCGTATTAATACAGACATGACTTAATGTTAAAAAGTAAACTGTCATGGAGCATGATCTTGGAGTTTGGTATCTTGAACTAGTTTTATTGTTCTGTTGCAGGCCAGAATTTTCCATTTTAATTCAGAAACAGTAGCATCTCCCTCTATGCAGTCCACTCTTTTCAAAGCAATTTCTTGGTCAAAAAAATTTGGCGGACTGATATTCTTTGATTTGAATTTGCCACTGCCTCTATGGAAGTCACGTGATGAGACATTGAAAATTATCAAGGGAGCCTGGGAACAAGCAGACATAATTGAAGTTTCAAGGGCAGAGCTAGAGTTTCTTCTTGATGAAGTTTATTATGAATGGAGAAGACATAATAAGCCTGAATACTTTGCTGAGTCTTTTCAGCAAACCAGAAAGATTAGAGATTACTATCACTATACCCGTGAAGAAATAGCGCCGTTATGGCATGACCGTTTGAAGTTTTTGTTTGTGACGGATGGAACACTACGGATTCACTATTACACCCCTTCTTTTGATGGGGCTGTAGTTGGTACTGAAGATGTGCTTATAACACCATTCACCTGTGATAGAACTGGTTCTGGTGATGCAGTTGTTGCTGGAATAATGAGGAAACTTGTAACTGAGCCGGAGATGTTTGAAAACAAAGATGTTTTGGAACGTCAGCTTAGATTTGCCATTGCTGCCGGGATAATATCTCAATGGACAATCGGAGCTGTTAGGGGGTTCCCTACTGAAAGTGCCACACAGAACCTAAAAGAACAAGTTTATGTGCCATCAATGTGGTAAAGTTAGTGTTGCATTGAATGTACATGAATTGATAGTTTCTTAGGGCATCCTCATTGGGAGGATTATTATGAGATTAATTTGGTGACATGGAAGTTTTTTTAGGGAATTATCATTGAGTGACATAGATTATTTAATGAGATTATTTGCTACAATAATCTGGGATCAAAATATGAATCTGGATTATTTTAAGATTATTTGAAAAATATACTATCCTCTGTTCCATAAAAGTTGAAACAGTTTGACTTTCATGTTTGCCAACGCGCAACTTTGACTGTAATTATATTTATTTACGTATTAGTAAACATTAAAAAAAGTTAATATATTGGAAATTTACATTAATACAAATTTATTAATATTTTATACATAATATTTTTATTATATATATTATTAGAAAATCGTAGTCAAAGTAAGGTGTGTGAATAGTGAAGAAATTCCAATGTTGCAACTTTAATGGAACGGAGGAAGTATGTAATAGAGATTAATGCAGGACAGAGAAAAAAATAGATTATTTGAAGATGATGATTGAGAGACATAAACGAATTTTGAGATTATTTTATAATTAATTATATAACAATATTTAAATGGTAAGAATCATAGAAAAAATTAATTTTTAGAGATCATGAATGGAGATGCTCTTGGCTTAGTGTTTACTATTCCCTCCATCTCAAATCAATGTGCCTCTTCACTTTGAATGGAACATGGTCCATTATCATATGCTTTTTATTATTTTCAATTTGATATTTAAATAGTGTATTTTTACTTTTTTTTCATTGCGTTGTAACTTGAAAGTGATTTTAAGTTGCTTTAATGTAAGTAGACAAACAGTTCTGCAATACAAAAAAAATACAAGTACTCCGTATCTATTATAAAAGATGCATTGCTTTTTTAAAAAACATTTTATATAAATTCATATAAATTGAATAGCTTAGTTTGGTGTATGGATGGACTCGGGTCCGGGCTGGGTCCGGGTCGGGCCGGCGGGTCAGAAATGGTGGACCCGGGACCAGCCCGGGTAACCACCGGGTCCGGTCCGGGGCCGGGCCGGGCCGGGCCCATTATATTTTTTTTTGTTTTCCTCTTCCTAATTAACCCCCCTCCCACCCCCAACCCCCCAAACCACCCCAAATGGCCCAAAATACCCAGCCCAACCCGAAAATTTAAAAAAAAATTGAAAAAAAAAATAGTTTTTGGCCCGAACCGGGCCCGGGCTCGGCCGAGTCGGGCCTTGTTTTGGGTGACCCAAGCCCGGACCGGAAAACCCACGGGCCGGGCCTACCCGGACCGGTCACTGACCGGGCCACCGGGTCGGGTCGGGTCGGGCCAGAGCAGTACCGGTCCCGGGTCGGGCCGGGCCGGAACAGTACCAGTCCCGGGTCGGGCCGGGTCGGGCCGGGTCGGGCCGGGCCGGAACAGTCCCCGGCCGGTTCCGTGTCGGTCCACCCGGGCCGGTTCCGGGTCGGGCCACCCGGCCCGAGTCCATCCATAGTTTGGTGTCATTGATTAAATAAATTATTACTCCGTACACCCACAAGGCAAAGAAGAAGTTAACCCAAATTCATTTAAGCTTAACCGGGAAATAAATTATCAATCACGAAAAATCCAACAATTATCAAATCGCTCTTAAGGTCTAGTGGTCTACTACCAAACCCAAAGAAGTGGAGTCTCAAAGAAGATTCTTGCTTGCATTCATTTTTTTTACTCCGGGAGCGTTAGGGGGAGGGGGGCTGGGAGAGTCTGGAGTAATCTAGATTGAAACTCACTCCATTGAGTTTCGAACCCGAGACCTCTCCCGTAAGGGAGAGTGAGTCAACGACCAGCTGGATTGGACCGCTTGCATTCATTATACCGAGGAAATCCATGTATAAATGGTTTAAAGGCGGAGTGGTATATAAGAAGTAATGAAATTAAAACATAACCGATGGTAATGAGACATGATTGCATAATTGTCAACCCTGTTTAGTTTAATCTTGCAAACTACTCTTGCTTGAGCTATGTCATTCCTCACAAGTATAATCCCATTTGTATTGTGCTAAAATCGCATCATTAATCTCTACAATAAATATACTTGAACTCCAACCCTACCCTAAATAGATATTCATTTTCTATATCATTGCTATATCCACCATCATTCACCTTAAGAGGTAGATTTATATCTTCGTTCTTTCATTTTTTTTCATAGAGTATAAGTTCTTAGAGAGAAGTGAGAACTAGAGAGAGAGTGCAATTAATATTACTCAACCCCTTGCAACTACCTCCAACTACAGCCAAAGGGGTATTCAAAGGGAAAATATTGACTAAGTATAGAAAATCTAGCTCTGTGAGGTCTCTTTGGTCGACAGAGTGTCAGGCCGACGGAGCACCATGCCAATGGAGGACCATGTTGCGCTCCTGGACTTCTAGACCATATTTTAGATTGATATGAGTTTGGCCGATGAAGGACCATCTGGCCGACGGAGGACCATCTAGATGTCAGTTGTGCTTCTTCTTAGTCTTCTGAGTATGTGGGTCATGGAATCTGGGCTCATATACTCTATCAAGTTCCATGAGCTATGAGTGAAATCATCATCAAACCCCTAAGCATTTCCTCATCATGATCATGAAAACAAACTCATTTCCCCCATCTTCATATATATTAGTATCACTTTCTTTAGAGTCCTCATGAACAGTCGCACCACACGCTTCAGTGCTACTAATCGATTTGACATAGATATGAACTGAGACAATGACACGATTTTTAATGTCAGTGGTTAAATAAAAAAATTTGGGTAAAAAGAGAAGAAAGAGAAAAATTAGAAAAAGTAAACATATAAAGTGAAAATAATTAAATCGAGATAAGTTGAGAGGGGGCAAATTGTGAGACTTGACATATAATGAGAAGGAAAGAAAATTTTGAATAAAAGTGTAATTCACGAGATTAAATTATTTCCAAAATGGCATGAGAACCTTTAAGTGAGACACCTAATAACGGAAGTCAAAACATTTCAACGAGATGAACGGAATACTACGTAATAAGTATGATTATTGATGGCTTTTCAAATAATTCCAGTTATTAAATCCTAAAAACAATTAAATTAAGTAATATAAAAAGTTTTTATTTAAGTATGAATGTTTTGATTTTATAATTTTCAATTTCAGAAAAACATTATTTTTCTATAAAACAATCGGAGAGTATCAATTAAAAAGAGGGAAAAATAATTAAAATACCTCAAACTTTGAAGGGGTGTGAGATAAACACCCCAAACTTTATGTATACAACTATTTTAGCACCGTAATCAAGTATTATTTCTTTCGAAAATGTAAATTTTGGGTGTTAATTGCGTACTTAAAAATATGTTAGCATTCATGAAGAAGACACAATTAAAGTTCTAAACTTCCATTGTGAAATAAAACATTACCCATAATCTATATAATTGCAATACTTTTAGTTTTCTATTTTAAATTATGCAATTACCACCATAAATTTATTTTTCTGAAAGAAATAATACATGATCATCATTTTAAAATAACTTTTGATATAAAATTTGAGATGTTTAAATTAACTATGCAAGTTTAGAATGTTTACCCTACATCTCTTCAAATGAAGTTTGGAGTGTTTGGCCCTACAAAAAGTCTAGTACTAAATAGTCCGATCTTGTAACATCCGGGGTGCGCAGAGTAAAAAATAAGGTGCGCTGAGATATCCCGTAACTTTTTTATCGGATAACTTGTATTTATTTTTTCCCAACCCGCCTCTGCTTCTCAGATAACTCCTCCGGCCATCAACCCCACAACCTTTGACTATCACCTTCTCCGGCTGGCAATCCCACCCCTACTTCCGATTGTTCAAAGCTCATCATTCTACCAAAGATGTTCATTATTAGTTTATCATAGGTATTGCTTCAGATTTGTTTTTGTTCATTCATGATGAGTTCGAACACTAATCATTATTCGTGAATAAGGTGAATCGATTTTTGCGCAAGGCCTATATAGTAGTCTGAAGCTTCACGATATGTAAGTTAAGTTTGATAATTTTTTTAATAAACAAAATTATATGTTTCTCAGATCTGTTGAAATAGGACTAATTCAGAGCGTTTTGAAGAATTAGGTTTACTACCGTGCTATTAAAAACATTTTTTTGACCGGGAAGAATATATCATTGAGAAACCTTCTAAGAGCATGAAAAATGTTTGCTCGTGTTTGTGTTTATTTGTCGCCGTTTTTCTCAAATATTTAGACATGATTGGAAATTGATATTTACATGCTCGATTTTTGAACTGGTACAGTTAACAAAGGTGATTTATAAATAAAGTGCTTCCATGTTAATTTTGAAAGAAGATTGTATTCACAAGTTCATATGTATTTAACCCATCCCAACAGTCTGTTTACATAATTGGAAATTGTCTTTACTTAACCAAACCTGTTTGAAACCTTACTTAAAAATTGCTCTGTACTTCGGTGATTCTAAATGTTTCCCGACTGTATTAATAGTAATATCGAATATACTGCTCCTGTTTTTGGAGTTTTAAAACATGTTTATCTTCCTTTGCCTCATAACATTATTGTTGATGTTTTGAACCATGTTTTCATTAATAATATTTCAGGTTGTTTTCTCCGAAGAATATATTTTGTACTATTTAGGATAATTTCTTAAAATAATATCCCCTCCAAACTCCAACGCATCCAAAACCCATTAGGCTATGAGCAACCCGGGAAGGTAAAATCTGTGTGTACACCTTTTTTGTACACTTTTTGTGTTCACCCCCTATTCTGCCTGTACATAGGCAATTTGTCTAACAAGTGTACAGAAAGTCTACAAAAAGGTGTGCACAAAGCAGCTGTCACCCGGGAAAGATCTGAAATCAAGCGACGCGAGTTCCCATCAGAGTTGTATCTATTGTTGACCTCTGTCATTCGTCTCCGCCCTTCCGCAGTGAAAAGCCTCCAAAAACTGGTTAAGTCGACGCAGCAAGGCACAGAAACCAAATTGATCCACACCCTGTCGCCCGTTCTCCGGCTTGCACTACTCGACACTATTGGTAAATAAACCTCCATTTTAAACGCTGAACCTTTCTCTTATACAGAAATAACAGCTAACACGACTGGAGACCGTGCCTATCCACGTCTCATCCACACGCATACCTGCCGTCTCACAGTCATTGGCCGCGTAACCTGTCTTTGATTTATTGGGTATTTATTATCTTTTTAACAGTTTTTGTTTTTTTTGTTCTCAATTTTTTTTTCCCCTGTAATACTTTGGAAGTAAGATTCGCTGTGTAAAATTATCTGGCTTGGTTATCTGCTAACATACTATATCTCATTTTAATATAAATCCATGTATTGAGAAAAGGAAGAAAGAATGATATCAACTAAGACTTGTCCTCATTTCCTGCAGAGTTGTCTTACAATTGAAGCACATTGGTTGAGTTGTGTAGGAAGGGAAGCCGATTTTTAAAGAAAGGTTCTGAAATATGCTTCAGATTAAGCTCAGAAAACCATCCAGCGAGGGTGGGGGTTCGACAAAGCAGCTACCTTCTGATAGCATTACTGTTGCATGCCCTGATCACCTTGTCTTAGCAGATCTTCCAGTTGCTAAGAGCCTTGGTTTGGCAAGTGGCACTGCTATTTTAAAACCTGTTGGTCGGAAATCCCGTCGTCAGCTTGGAGAGCGGGTTCATTTTTGTGTTCGTTGTGATTTTCCTATTGCCATCTACGGGCGTCTGGTGAGTCAAGTAGAAGTACACTTGTTTCTTTCTGACTTATCTCTACTCCTCTTGAAGGGGTGTGCTAATTTCCCTCTTTGTCTGAACTGCATTAAAGGTGTGACCGTCTGATAATGATTGTTCTGTGCAGAGCCCTTGCGAGCATGCATTCTGTTTAGATTGTGCACGAAGTGATTCCCTCTGCTACCTGTAAGCTCAATTCTACTTTCTTTTCTATATGGGGGATACCTTCTCCAATTAATCGTCATTTTGTAAAAGTTAACACTTACGGAGTACAACATTGTAAGAGTACCTTTTTACGCGTAAAAAGTTTAACTCTAAATATATCCTTTTTTCAAAGCATTAAAGTGTTTAATGTGAGAATAGTTAATATGTGAAGATTTGAGATATTAGCACAAAATATGCATTCTTATCCTGAATTGACAATAACTGTGGAACTATTTAGTTGCTAAAACATCTAATTTGGGACAGATGGAGCATTTGTGTTTTCTTTTGACCTGCATTAGTTTTGTGAGGAGTGAGTAAATTAAGACACACTTTGCTACCAAAGTAAAGCTACATTTTAATGGTGAATTACAGGCTGGTGTAATCCACTGCTTTATTCCGCAATCATCTCTTTTTAACTATTGGCAAAAATATATGGAAAGCTAAATGCTGCTTGTTGTCGCAATAATTTTTTCCCCACAGATGTGATGAACGCATTCAGAAGATTCAGACAATTAAGTTGATGGAGGGAATTTTCATCTGTGCAGCTCCTCACTGTCTTAAGTCCTTTCTGAAGAAAAATGAATTTGAGTCTCATATTCATGGAAACCATGCCGACCTTCTTCACCCAAGTGCAGGAAAAAATACTAATGTGTCGGACACTAGCAATGCTAGAAAACCTGCAGCATCAGAATCCACTGTACAAGCACCTCTCAGGTCTGCATTCTCTCCCAGTCCGGGCTCCCAGGCTTATGATCGCGAAGACAAAGCTCAGCATATGTCATCAAAACCACCTTCTACTGGAAAAATGCAGAATTATCAAACAGATCAGCCAGCTGATAGTAATCCTCCTCCAGGTTTTGAGAGGTCTGGTTCTCAGAATCAATTTTCTCAGCAGAATTTTGACTCACGGGGTGGGATGAGACAAGAACCTGGCCCATATCAAGACAAGCAACAAGGAGCTGTTGGGGGTTCTCCTTTTCGAGAATATTCTATCAACAATGTTCCTCCTCAACCTCATAGTTTCATGCATGTTAATCCAAGTCCAGTTATGCCTCCTCAATTCGGATATCCTCATTTTACACCTGAACCATTTTATAGTATTCCATATGATATGAGAAGGCCAGACTCGACTGCAGATGTTGGCTCAGAACAAGGATCATTACTGGGTTTCCCCCCAGGTCATGCTCGGCCATGGAGTATGTCGCGGACTGCTGGCCCTTTTGATTCTCCAGCAGCTCATGGATTCATGGATGGTTTCCTCAATGCGCCTGAACAAGGAAGAAGTGCTTTCTTTCAAGGAAGTTCTGCAGCTTTGCCTCCAAATGGTCCTCCTGCCTCCCCTTCATCTAATAAAGGATTAGAGACTGGACATGGTGGATATTCTATGGATTCGCGTGAAGCGAAGATTAATTTGACACAAACTATGTCTCTCCCGCCGCCTCCTCCTTTGCCTCCCCATATGCACCAGCTTAAAAGAGGTAGATCGTATTCAGGGGATGCTGAGTCATGATACGAGGCAGGACTTCAGCTGACAGCAAAACATCCTGATTGGCCTATCTGTTTAATGTATTTCTTCTTCTTTCAGTATCTGTTTATGTTTTTCTGGCTGATAGTGTTGTATTGGAAACTAATGAGTCTAATTAGTGAAATATGTTGCAGAGTTCTGTCATGTTCTCAATCATTTTGTCACATATATTCGTATAAAAAGTCCTTCATGTATTCCCCTTTTCTTTTACCATCCCAAAAAGCTTTTCATATTAAATAATTCACAAGGTTAAGTGTTTCATTTTTTGCGTGAACTGGGTCATGAATCAAAGGTTAACTTTTCATTTTATAAAGTGTGATTTGCGTGAGCTGGGTCATGATTCACGCAGGACTTCAGCTCTTTTTTCTGTTTCAAAGTTATGAATACTTTGCTTGTTTGAATTCCATCATGACCTTTATTTTTGTGCTTTATCTACTTATTTATACACTCTTCTTTCACTCGTCCTTTTTCAGGTCATATTTGTAAAATAGCAAGCTATCTCATTTACTTTAATAAAAGTTGTGTTAAATCCAATTATATCTTATTTTGAAGTAAGGTTTGTTGTTGTAAGCTGGATGTGTGAACAATGAACACCAGTGTGTTGGGGGTAATGACGATAATAATTAAGATGGCAAAGAATAATTGAATCTTGATTCACTCAGTTTTCAGTATCTGTGCGAGCAGGGATTTTTGGTCCACCCAATATCTGGAAGTTGGTACCAATATATATTCAGAAACTTGTACAAATAGACAGATTAACACTCATTAGGAACACAAAAAAAGAAGCCAAAAAGGGGAAACCCGATCTGGAGACAGGACCAAGATGAAAAACTAATGACCACCTCTCCTTAAAAAGCGACTATCGACAAAACCGAAGGAAAATGATTTCAATTTTCAAATACCAAATGAAAATTTAGTCAAATTTTGTGTCCACAATCCAATTTCGAATCTTGCAAGTAGTGCGTTCAGCATCCAATTTTAAATAAAAACTCTGCAATTTCCTGTATGTCTTCCACACATATTTGTCAATACGATCTTCATACTTCTCATAAAGTGCAGGTAATGTGAGCATAATGGCAACCCCTGCCACCAATTAAACATTCAATGAATCCTTGAAATTCAATCAAGCATCATAAATAAATCATAATGACAAAAATCTATGACTTGGAAACTTACCAGTATAACCCAAAGTGAGAAAATCTGTCATCAGGCCAATGACTGAAACCAGCAACAGAACTGAGCCTACATTAATGAATAACACGGTGTCCCTGCCCAGTGCAATATCCTCAAATGCAGAGAGCAATGTGTTAATATGGCCATAGATGAACACTGCTGCTTCTTTCACTCTTTCTTCTGAGATATGCAAATGTGGTATAGGTGGTGGAGGTCTATTGCAAGACAATCAGAAAATAGTAGTACTAGTCAGGATATCTGCATTGTATGTGACTGGCATTGTCTTCACAACATGTAACACTCTTCGTTGCAAAACACGACGAGAACAAATTAAAAGAAATGGAAAAACATTATTTTGTTAAGATGAGAAGTTCCATCCTAAAAGGTCATTTGGGTAGGAAAAGCGGTTCGATCCCTGGTTTGTGAGTTTGTATATATATATTTACGTATTAGATCGCTTAAAATGGTAAACAAGATGGTATCTAGACATCTAGTTGGAGCACACTGGTTCTGAAATTCGTGTTCTCTTTTTGAATCTTAACTGGATGAATTGCACATTTGAACCATATTAAAATTCAGGATTCTGTCTTCAAAGCTTGACTGGACAAAAGAAGTAGCTACATGTCTTATACGCGAGCATATCTTCATTACATTTGCACATGCAAAACAGGCAAGTGTCATATCAATCATGAACTAATATAGTTATGGGTGAACTGAAAGTTCAATGGCGTTATTACAATTTTTTTAGGATCCCTGCCCTTTTTTGTAATTGATATTCTTTTCTTTTTAGCCCTCTTCTAGCTTTCTATGCTGACTTTTTATACCTTTTTGGATGCTATTACTTGATAATACTAGACCAAACTTATCATTGATGCTCTCAATATTGGTTCCCATGTCTCTCTTCCCAAAAAATGTGAAGTATCTTTATAAAGAGTTGACTTGAAAAAGAAAGATTGAAATTTTGTTAGTCATACCAATTTTGGTTTTAAAAGGAGGTTGTGAAAGGTCCAAGCGGGACTTAAAACAATTTACCGCATATAGATGAAATACAAAAAAAAAAAGATGATTCTAAAGAGACCGTAAAACACAAACACTAAATGTACGGAAACTAAAACCATATTTAAACCAAATTTAAAAAATGCATCAAATAAGTCCAGTGTGTAAACCCAGTAAATAGTTTTATAACTGTAATTGCCTAAAAAGTAAACCACAAACATCAAGATCGTTCCAAATCCTACCTGTTTAGGACTGCAGCTGATTTTGCCCACAAAAAAAGAATTCCAAGCAGAAGCAGGAAAACACTTGAGGTTAAAGATAGAAGAGTATAGCCTGATCTTTCAAACACAACCCAAGAAAACAATGTAATTGCTAGGATCCCCTCTGACACATTTTTTCTTCTCCACAGTATCACATCAGCAACTGTTTTTTGTTTGGAGAGAAAGATATCACAAAGTTCAGCTTGGGAGTTGGTTTATAAAAATGTAAGGAATGTATAACATAATTAGTGTTTGTTTGGTGAACCATTTTTGGCTTAACAGCCAGATTTTATAACAAACCCTAATTTTTTTTTATTTTCTGAAAGGAACTGTGTAATGATTCAAATAAGCAAGGCCAAGGGTATTTTTTGTCTGAATTGATTTAATTTGATGAAAGGGACACTTTTAGCATTTTCAGACAGAGCATAATTTCTTTAGTTGTCAATCAAATATATTTGAAATATGATTATTCCATAGTTCAAGAGATTCAGCCAGAGTTTCGGCATATTCTTCCAATCTTCGTCCAAAAGGTTGAATCCCCAACCCCAAGGGCCCCCCACCCCGACCCGACAGGATGGTGGGAGAGTAAATCACGGTGACTCAGTCGGCAAAGCGGCAGTAGGCCTTTACTCGTGCGCACCAGAGGGCCAACCTTATTTCAGGTTCTGAAAACCCCCTTTTGGCCGCTGCGGGATTCGAACCTTGGTCTACGTCCAATTTTTCCCACCGCTCGACCAACTGAGCTACCCGTGCGGGTATATTCTTCCAATCTTAATGCTATGTACAGGAAGCTATTAGGCTCTTAGGGATAAAACAAAACAAAACTGCAATCTCCCTTTCAAGATATAGTCATTAGATAAGTGTTCCAAAACCTTATCTTGTAAATCCCTCCATCCAAACAGACCCTAAATTAATAATTAAAAGAAGAGGCCTAACAGTTAACTTTTACTGAACTATGCAGGATTACAGACTAGTAGGTCACCAGAAACAAACAGATTTTTATTTACTTACTGCAGATCAGAAGTATTTCAAGATTAACTTATGTCATGCTGAAGGAAAGTTATTGATTGAACAAGAATTCTACACTGGTTAGCATGGGCAGTTCATAATTTGGATCTAAAACCCAAAACAGTGAAATTGAGAAGACTAACTCACCAAGACCTCCTCCAAGGATCTGATGAAGGCTTCTCTGCCTATTAAACAGCCGATCTGATGATCCCATTTTGAGAAACTTAGAAGAAGGGCCTTCAGATTTCATTTGAAGCAGAGGGGAAAAGTTACTTACAGCTTTGATATCAACTGCAGTGTATCTGAAGTGAGGAATAAGATTCAGAGAAAGCTGAGGTATAGGCTTATGGTGGTGTATCTACTTGAATTGGGAGATTTGAGAAGGGAAGAGATAGTGGGAAGCAGGCCACCCTAAAGGCTTGAAAATCTACTCATACAATATACATGTCTTTTTATCCCTTCCCTCCATTTTCTTTTCTATTAGATCTTTACCACTCTGGCCCTCATTGAGGTTGTTGAGCTAATCCTGTGACTTGAATTTTTTTGGGAGCGTTTGGAAGCATAGTTTTCTTAAAGAGTTTGGGCTAAAATTACTACAAATTCAAAAGTAAATAGTTGTGTTGGGTAAAGTACAACATGTTAATTTTAGCAATAAAAGACTACTAATATAGTTTTTTTTTTCAAAAATATTACTGAAATAAAATTTATTTATAAAAGTATAATAAAAACTTATTATAGTACCACGTAAAATGTTATAATCATTGGAGTGTAAAAATTAAATAGAAATTACTATGACTAAAATTACTACTATAGTCACTACAGTTAGTTAATATGTTACGTTTTTATAAACAACTTTTATTTTAGTCAAAAACATGTAACTACAGTTATTACATATTATTTATTTCTTTAGTTAAATAACAAAATATGCATATTTTATCAATTTCAAAATATGTAAACTAAAAATTTATATAGACGTTGCATTCAGAGCAATGCCCATTTACAAGACTAGTTTCATCTATTCTGAAAATATTTTTAGGAAACAAATGTGTTTATAATTACATCGAAGAAAGAAAAAGTTTTTACATAAATATTACTCAAATATAACGCATAGCTAAAAATACAACTATTGCTACGATACATAGTCATGCATTACAGTATATTGTTGAATACAATCATGGTAACACAAGTTACTAGTTATTATATTAATGAGAAAGGTACAAATATATCCTTATGAGAGTGAAAACAAATATACGTGTGTTTTATTTTTCGGAACAAATATACCCCTGAAGTATATGTAGAAGTGCATATATACCTCTTAACTTTTAAAATGTGCAAAAATACATCTCATATTTTTATAAAGAAGCAAATTTACCCTTATTGACTTTAAATTGATAAAATAAATTTCAAAAAACATCAAATATAAATTATAAATTCGAAATTAAAAAATAAAAAATATTGTTATAAAATTCTCCCTTTTATGGTTTATATATCACAATTTAATATTTTTAGTATAAAATATTATATCAAAGCTTTACTATATATTTAAGATTCTTTTGAAAGTGTTAACATATGTGTTGCAATGTAAAAAATATATTAATATTTTGCATTCTTTGCACTATAAAATTATTTTATATGATGATAAATAGTCCAAGATTAAAAAATAGTGAATTTAATTTTATTAAGGTTAAACACAATCGAAGAATGTTATTTCAAAAAATGTAACAATGTGTTTAAAATTTCGCAACAAGACTAAAATTAATATTTATGATTTTGAAGTACTTCATTTACAACGAAAAAATAATATTTTTGCAGTTTAAAACTAAAGTGTTAATATTTTAACATAATAATAAATGTTTGTTTTTTAAACCTCGAATGTATAATTTATTTTTGGTGTTTTTTGAAATTTATTTTATCTATTTACAGCCAATAAGGGTAAATTTGCTCCTTTATAAGAATACGAGGAGTATTTTTGTACTTTATAAGAATTCAGAGATATATATGCACTTCAACATATACTTCAGAAGTATATTTGTTCCGAAAAATAGAACATGTGTATATTTGTTCTCACACCTGTATTATATGGGTATATTTGTACCTTTCACTAATATATAAAAGGAAATATTTAATATTTTTATCCACTACTATTATGTCGATCATAACTTTTTCATCATTTTAAAGAAGGGAGAACTATCAAATAAGCTCTCGAACTTTCATAAAAATTGCAAATAAGCCCTTTTATAGGAGGCTCTGTCCGGCTATCGCCATTTGGGGCGGTTTCCGGTGTAATTTTTTGATGGAATTTTTTGAGCATCTTTTTCATTAAGTCTAGTTTACTCATACCAAATTTCAGCTAAACATTCAATCTGGAAGGCAATCAAATGCATTTTTGAAGATAACTGAGCAGTTAGGCAGCGCAGTATATTTCAGAAAATCATTTGGCTGCCTTCTCGATTGAAGTTTTAGCTGAAATTTGGTATGGGTAAACTAGACTTAATGAAGAAGATGCTCAAAAAATTCCATCAAAAAATTCTACCGGAAACCGCCCTAAATGACGACAGCCGGACAAAACCTCATGTAAAAGGGCTTATTTGAACTTTTTATGAAAGTTCGAGGGATTATTTGATAGTTCTCCCTTTTAAAGAAAGAAAGAAGCTATCATAAACTACATATTATTTTTATATAAAAGTAGGTCTATACAAGGAAAATCATTTTTGGACACATGAAGTATTGAACTTGGGTGTAGCATTATATTTTTATAAAGTTACATAATAAATTATTTTAATTTCATAAAGTGGGAATGACCTTACAATATAAGTACATACATACTTAACTTAGAAGATGTTAGAAAAATGATATTAAAAATGCGAGTTTAACCAAATAAAAATCCCGAGTTTATACAAATCACCAGACAAACCACCAAATGCAAGAACAGAAAAAAAAAATAATAATAATTAGAATAAGTGAAAAAGGAATAAAGAAAAGATAAGAAGAACTTATCGCAGGATCGCCCGTTAAAAACGGACTGGCCTTGAAGAAAGATAGCCCCCGTATCCCGATAGCTATTCGGACGGGTCTGGCCAGCTCGCTCCCAGGATAATCCTACTCCGTTTCAGACTTGTAGCTACCTTGACTGAAACCTTCGATCGTTGCCCGGTTTGCCTTTGAAAGTAAAAAAAAAAAGGATGAAAGAACTATGGATTATATGCTCTCGACACAAAGGAATTAAATTCCTTGAAGACAAGAAGAGTGCAGACAGAAAGTTGTCTTCGCACTAAGAGAAAAAAAAAAATCGCAGGTGATTTTTCTTTGTGGGTTAGGCAAGATCAAAATGGATAGAGCATGTAGTGGGTTATCTCTTCTGCTTGTTTTCGGAAATCAGGCACCCTTATATATACATATGTTCTAGTATAAATAAAAGAAAGGGTTTTTGGATGTACATGGACAGGCAGGTCGGAGAAGCAGTTATGATACCAATTAGTATAGCCATAACTTTTCAGTTTCATCAATAACTCTCTCAACTTGACCTGCTGTCTTCTTAATAATTTTGAAATTCAAAATTTCAAATTATTAATTACATTAAATTACATACGGATGTAATTAAAATGAAATGTCCATCCATCCAAATTCTAAGAATATAATTTTGTCCTGAAATCAAATAGTCTCCAAAGCCAACTCATTTGCTTAATCATTTTGAATCCTTTATATGATCTTTGAACAATGTTCCTTATCATATTATAAGAGATAATTTATTTCTAAAACGGACAAAATATTCTTCATATTAATACGTCACATTTACAACCATTACAACTATGGATTCTTACTGAAACAAGTCCATATATTATGGTTGTACTTTGATGTAAAAATAATATTCCCAATTCTTATTTTATACATGTACACTTTAGGACTCATAAGTGAGACCCCAAGAAAATAATATTTCGTCATATTTCCAACAATCCCCCACAAATCCATAGTTGTAGACTCAACTCTAAGACATAGTGTGCTTTCAAATATGGTACCTTCCGGTTTGAACCAAATTCTAAGCTCTTACCCCTAACCCCCACAGGAACTGAGTGAACAGAGTTCTTGAACTCGAACCTTGATTGTGTTGGTGTGGGATAAAAGCAACACACTAACGGCAATGGCAACGATCTATAGGGGTGGCGCTTTTACGGCCGTGCGTCCTGATCCTGTCTCAAGAATGTCATCGAGAATTAACCCTTATTCTCTTATTGCGGCCACACAATAACATTCTCATAGTTGGGCATCTCCAAGAGTGAATTGCTAACACTCTGCAATTAAGCTCGATCCCATTCAGAGTTTTAAACTCTTACTAACTTAGCAATTTCAGCATCTCTAAGGCTTATCAAGGAATAGAACTCATTAAATTATTTTAATGAGATGCACAATTCACTCTACAATTTGTTTATACCACATTGAACCTACTTTATGGGATCTCCACTCAGATAGGTTGGGTTGCCACCGTAGATGAATGATTATTGGGTTTCAGTCCCATTCCTAACCTTGATTTTATCACTTGATTTAAATCAAGTCCTTTTGTTAAAGGGTCTGCTGTATTATCTTTGGATCCAACAAAATCAACAGCAAACACCCCTTGAGACACAAATTTCCTTATAGTTTTTAATCTAACTTGAATGTGTCTCCTAGTCTTTTGATTATACTTGGTACTCCTAATTTTTGCAATTGTACTCATACTATCACAATGCAAACAAATAGGTGGAATTGGCTTGCTGAATATAGGTAACTCGGACATTAGTCCCATAAACCATTCAGCCATAATTCCTGTAGTATCCAACGCACATAATTCAGCCTCAAAAGTAGACCGAGAAAGTACAGTTTGTTTAGTGGACTTCCAGGCAACAGCCCCACCACCAAATGTAAACACATAGCCAGTACACCCATAACTCCCGGAGTTCTTAGCTATCCAGCTTGCATCACTATATCCTTCAAGAACAGGAGGATATTTACCATAATGCAAACACAAGGAAATAGTTCCTTTCAAGTATCTAAATACTCTATTTAAGGCCTCCCAATGAGTTCTGTTTGGACAACAAGTGTACCGACTCAGTTTAGACACTGAAAATGCAATATCAGGTCTAGTACAGTTAGCTAAGTAACCCAAGCTACCAATCATCTGAGAATATCGTAATTGAGACACAGGAACACCACTTTCATTTTTATACAAAGCTACTGAAGGATCATAGGGTGTTTTAGCAATTCTACTATTTTTAAATCCAAATTTCTCAATTAATTTTTCAATATAATGTGACTGAGAAATAGAAATGCCTTCAGTTGATCTAGTCAACTTTAGCCCAAGAATTACTTCAGCCACCCCCATATCCTTCATTTCAAACTTAGTTTTCAAAAACGACTTAGTCTCAAAAATAATATTATCATTAGTGCCAAATAATAATATATCATCAACATATAGGCATAAAATAATGCTTATATCACCTTTACATTTATAATAAACGCTTTGATCAGCATCTATAAGAGTAAATCCAAACGAAAAAA